AAAGAAATAATTCCTATTTTCACTAGTTTAGCATGATCAATTGGCTTTAATGTTGAAAATTCTGATTTTGAATTAATTACTTCCACAAATATTTTACATATTTCTGATCATTTCATGTTGTCACAACATTATGTTGTAAATATTTTCTATGTAATTGTACAATTGTAAACAATATTATAATGTTATTTGTACATAGAGTCATTTCCCTTCTTTTGAGAAATCAAAAATAAGACAGTAATTCAACAAACATGAATATTTAAAGATTCATAATACAGTTTTCCATGTTACTCTCAAAAGAGGCTACAATTTAAAGGCTCATTAGCAATGTAGCGTCACATCTCTTTTACCACAACATCTTGCTTTAAATTGCTCAGTTCAAAGTTTGACAACATTCTTAACTCCTCTTCTTTCTCATTATCAAATTCTATGCGACCTACCATTAGAACATGTCCTGAATCAGACCCCTACTCAACACATCCTCTGCTCTCTAACCTTTCTTCAGATGTGCCTCCTTGGGGCTGGGTGTCTCCGGCGATTGCTTTGCTGCTGTCCTTGGTGCTGACAAAATGTGCAAGGGGATTCAACAAGAAGCTGCTGTAACAATCATGCAAAAGATGATGGTGGATACTGACCAGGGTAAAATTACTAGAAGTAGTGATGACTGGCCAGATGAGCATCAAGTATATTCTGGAGATAGAGTTTTAAAAATTCTAGTGGTGAAAGTGAGGCATGAAATGTTGGTCTGTGTTGGTGATACAAATTTGGGAGTTGTTGATATATAGAGAGTACTTAAATCCTTGAAAATAGATGGGGGTCATGAAAATGAATATCAGTAAAGAAGGAATCATAAACTGAGCCTCAGAATTCTAATTATTAGAATGCAAGTATAAAGGAAAGAACCAGTTAAAGAATCTGAGAAGGAACTTCCAATGAGATGGAAACAAAACCAGGCAAATGAGATATCCTGGAAACCAAATGAAGAAGAGAATAAACATCAACTAAACAGTGGATTCAATAATGTTACCTTAATTTTTTACAGGAACAATTTTAGTGTTGTGTCCAAAATTAAAACCTTAATTGAAGTCAGTGCCAGAGAGAATGGAATACAAAATATGCAGTTGATGAGTAGAGATGATATTTTTATAGAATCATGCTACAAATCAAATCTAAGAAATGAATAGATGGAGGAAGAGAAGTTACAGAAATTTTTAGATATTTTGTTTCTATTTCTAAATAAAATAAGTAGAATACTAATGAGTATAATCATGTAGTGAATAAAAATTATTTGTGATATGGAAGGAATGCTTTAACAGATTATTGAACATGGAATTCAGTACACAATGCGGAGCAACTTGTTTTAGATTGGAAAACTGAGATTTATTTCTGGTTGTAGACTAGAAGTTACAAGATACTGTCAATGGAGGATAGGTGGATGTAAAAATCTATGGAAAGTTTTTTCTGATTTTCTAATTATTTCAATAAATAAGATCAGAAGCAAGAATATACAGATTTTGGGTGGCAGGTTTGAGGCAAGACAAGGAGGTGAGAAATCATATAGGAGAGTAGCAAGGTGAATGATAATTTGTGGAACTATGATTACCTAGTTGATTAGTGTTCACTGGAGGAAAAGAATAAACATAAAATATATGTATAATTGTATAAGGTATTTAGTAGGTAGGCTTACAGCATTAGAAGAGGAAGAGTCCCAGTGGCTCTCTACCAGAGGAGAGACAAAAGAATTCAAAACGATCAGAGGGATCCAGTAGCAGTCTAAAGGTCAAAGGCTTGGGGCTCATTTATAGAGTCACCATGTGAGGTCTCTGTTTAGAAAGCCAGAGTCTGCATTGGAAATCTGGAGTCTGTGCTGGAAGCTGGAGGAAAATGGAGACCAAAGTCCAAAGGCAATAGCAAAGATCGAATTTCCTCCAAAAGAACAAAAGAGGTAAGATTCCTTCTTCTTTCCCTCTTTTCTTCACCCAGAATAGAAGCCTACTGGTTGATGTCATTGGGGGTGGGTGTTGCCTTTCCTGTTTGTGGCCCACATGTCAATCATCCACAGAGACACTCAGGGCCTCCCTCATCTTCTAGATGGAACTTATTCAAGTCAAGTTACTAATTGTGACACATCATAATTAACAATTACAATCCACCACTTGTCTGTTTGAAAACCAGACACATTTTAAACAATATTTAATCTCCATATGTGTACAAAGGGAAATGCACTAATTCCTTCCCCAGAATAGCAGGCAAAATTTTGGAAGTTGATGCCTACCTTTCTCCTAAATTCTGAAACTTGAACATTAGAATATATTTCTAACAATACTTATCAATCAACATTCAGTTGATCAACATTATGTTATAAAGAAAAAAACAAAGATACATGCCTAATATATATGCATATATGTACAAGCATATTAACAAAATAGGAAAGAAATGCTCATGACAATACAGTCCACATTTCCATAACATAACTGTAATCAATGTTTACAACTACTTTCTTTTACTAGCCATTCTATAGAGCCTTCGCCTTCAGCAAGCACCTCAGCAGATCTTGGTTCTTTACCCAACGAGGTAACTTATATCTTTATTCCTAAAAGTTCTGGGAAATTTGTCATCCTGTTTGGACAGGGGGATTGAGGTCCCCTACTGACCTTAATAATAGCCCTGGGCATTTCCTATACTCCAATAAATTCTTTTTTCCTCCATCATGGAGTAATAACCCATGTTTCCCTTGATAATCTGAATCAATCACCCTTGACAATGATGTAATTCCATTTGTGTTGCCTCAGAGGCAAAAGGAGCCCAAAATGACCAGGGGAAAGTCTTACCTTCCAGTTCAGTGGAATCATTTTTGTGTTTTCTCATACAAACTTTTACCCTTCTAGATTTAAAGCTTCTAGACCAACAGAGAAGAATGTCATGGGAACAGGAAGCAAAAACTTTGCCAGTGGGTAGTTAATTTGCTAAGAATAATAATTCAAGTTGACGTCACAATTAACAATCAGACCTAGAAAAAAATGGGAACCCATTTGAGGTTCATTGGCCCTAAAATAAAGTAAGACTAGTCCACGAGGATGAGCTTGTTCCTCCAGGTACATTTAGCTTCATGAGTACAGATGTGAAATCTGAGGATGTGAACTAAATAATGTTTTGTTTCTGCCAAGAACTTACAAAAGAAGAAGTAGAACAACTGTCACTTTTTTAATGACCCTTCTCTGATCATCTGTCTGGGTTGGCTTTTCAGTGACATTACTAAATATCTGACAAAAACAACTTACTTTAGGAGGAAATATTTATTTTGGCTCATGGTTTCATAATTTCCAGCCCATAGTTGCCTGGCTCTCCTGGTTACCCCTGTGTAAATGCAGAAACATTATGACAGAAGAGCATGTAGAAGGAAAATTGCTCACCTAGTGGCCACCAGGAAGCAGAAAGCCTGGAAAGAGCCAGAAAGAGGAAGAGGCCTAGGACAAAAACACACTCTTCCAACTCATACCCACAGTGACCTGCTTCTTCTAGTTGTACGTTCTAGTTCTAGTCCTCCAGTTGTACATTTAGCTATTAATGAATCTATTGATGAGATTAGTTCCCCCCCCCCCATGATCTATTCAATTTCCCAAAGCTTCATCTCTGAACACATGAGCCTTTGGAAGGACATTTTTTATACAAACCATAATATCACTCTAATTAAATTTATGACTTTCCCCCAACCTAGTTCTGTCAATTCTTCTATCCACTCTCTTTTTTTCTATACCACTCATCATCTTCCAATAACACTACCCAACGCAGTTATTTTCTTATTGCCTATCTTTTTCCTGCTGGAATATGAATTTCATGTAATGGACAAAACTGATTGCCTATTACGACTACATAGAATTGTTTTCTCAGCGCCTAGGACATAGTAGTAACACAAATTAATATAAATTCTCAATGAATTGCCTTTATTCCTTCTCATTTTTCAAAATTTTCATTCTGAATAGGTGTGAATGACATTAAATTATTATTTTAATTTTGACATATTTTAAAGAAAGAAAGAAATGATTAATAGATAGATGATCTTCATCTTTTAGATTTAAAAAACTGCTACTTGGAAAAAAGTCATATCTGAGGGGACTGTGATGGTACCTGTAGTTAGGAGGATCACTTGAGGATAAGAATTTAAGGCCAACCTGAGTAATATAGTGACTTGCAGACAGACAGAGACAGAGACAGAAATCATTCTTAGAACCGATAAGTTGAACAAATAACTTTTAAAACTGTACCACGTAATATAGATTTAGATATATAATACAGATCAATACTCACTGTTTCCAAAACCTACCAAGGAGGTGAGTTCTGTTCAAAAAGGTTAGTTGCAGAAAAATTTTGGATCACTTTTATTTTTTAATTCTATGACTGAAATCTGAAGTGTCTGTGGATGGTATAGGCTTCCCATCCAAATTTAGTATATTGCTCTGAGACTTCACAGAAATATTGATTTTTTGAGCTGATACTAGTGGATCAGGGTGTGAGGTTCAAGAAGTTATACTAAAATGTATGTTTCCAATTATAAAATAAACAAATTTAGGTGAATTTTTTAGATTACAAGTATCTATTATCTGCAGACAATTTATATATATTTATATTATCTGCAGACAATTTATATATATATATATATATCTGCAATTTATATATTTATATATACTTTAGTGATAACCTGTCCCACCAAAAATCTATTTGAGTAATAATTATCTCACTACAGCTGATATAGAAAGTTACCTTGAAAAAAATTGAAGAAAAAATAAATGTATTATTTTAAAAAAGACTAGATCCCAAAGACAAAAATACCACTACACACAAATTCTATAATTGTTAGTAAATGTGTCTCAGACAAACACATGGATTAACAATCTGAAACCTCTTTATATGTATATGAGAATTGAACAAACAAGGAAACACAGTCAAGACTCAAGTTTCTTTACAGTCAGGTAAGGTAGTAACACAGAAGAAAATGAAGACAACGGACCCTGAATCAAGGCCAGCAGCTTACTGACACTGTTGGTTCAAACAGGAGCCTACACAGATGTCTTTCTATGGTCTGTTGGCCATGTCAGAACTTGGGCAGTGAAATGGTCAATTCATTAAAAGAAACAGTTTGAAGCAAACTGTCCCACCCCCATCCCGTGAGCGGCTGTGAGCGTGGCAGGCTCTGGCGGCCCAGGATGAGATCCACTGGGGTTTACTGGGACCCACGCGACGCTGGAACCTGAAGCACCAGGAAATCAAGCAACCCCTTCCCCCTTGCCTGTTTTGTTTTGTTGAACTTCAATATACATGAAAATATGGACAGCTATTTTGAAGAGAACAAGAGACTCTACAACAGCCATTTGTGACTTTATTGTCTAGTTTTGAAGATCTAAAATGCCTTCCTCATTCTGTTTGGATCAGTTTTATACTATGTTGTTTTGTATGAATTCTCTGTATGCAAAGATATGGACAACTATTTGGAAAAAAACAAGAGATAGTATGATAGTGAAGATCTCACATCATCTAGCTTTGAAATTTATATCTCTCACATTGCTTTCTTATGCCCTATTTTGTTCTGGTTTTTTTTGGTGTTTAATTTTACTCCCTTTAAAATAAAAAGAAAAAAAAGAAAATGAAGACAAATTTCATGGTATTGAAATAGAATTTGAATTTTAATACTTAACATACACTAAAATACTTAAGGTTCAGATACTGATGCAGAAATAAACTTAGATACTTGTCCTGCCAGTGTTAGCATATGCAAGTATATTTCCTAGTCTGCTACACTCAAAGGGTCTAGAAGCAATGCTACCCTGACTGCAGTGATCATAAAAAACTCCCAGATCTTAGTCCCTCAACACTATTTTTTCTTGGAAGCCCTTACAGAAGTGGTTGATTGCAAAACTGGGGTATGAAAAATTGGACTGTATTCCTTTTTGATTTTTTTGTGAGGAGGGTACTGAGAATTGAACTCAGGACCTTACACTTGCCAAGGCAGGTGTTTATGCAACTAAGCTATATCCTAGGCCCTACAGATACAAAAATTGGAGCAATAAAATAAATTATAACACTGGATTAGAATTTCTGGATTAAAATAAATATTCATAAATCCATAATTATATTTTTAATAATTAATTAATTAAATGAGGAAGAGGATGCATCTTTTCATGATTTTACACCTCTTGCTTGCTTGCTTTCTTAAAGAAGCGTACAACATCTTGAGATGCTCTCACTTCCACTATACTCTCTCCAGCATTCCCAAAAGTGCCTACGTGGAAGCTGGGACAGCAGCAGAAAATTCCAATTTAGTTCTGCCTCTGCCCTCACCTCATGATAATGCTTCTCAGGTGACCAGGAGATAACAGGTTTTCTATCTTGTCTAATTAGCATGAGTAGCACTCAGAAGGCTACCCATGACAGACATGGCACAAAGACAAGCCAGAGTAAAGGGAAGGAGGAAGCATACACACCCACTGCAAACAGTTTGAACATTGTCACTCCCTTTGTGCTGTTGTTTATCTTCCAAGGCTGGAAATTACTTCAACCTCCATGTGATTTTCTCTTATGTGTCCCTGAATTCACTTCTCATCCACTGATCAGTATAAAATGGTGCTTTTCCATTCCCTCATTCTTTTTATACCATAGTCAGAGTTTGCCCTTACCCAGTCCCTCATTCCCTGGGACCAAACACTGCCCAGCTTCTGATTCTCATGGGGATATTCTCCCCTCAGATCCCTTCCTCTGGAGCTGTCATCAGAACAGCATGTACCTCAAAGTGCCTAACAGCAATAACACATCATTTACCAAAACAGACACAGAAACAACTGCACGGCGTCCAATCGAGTCAGTTAATGGTACAAAGACAGATGGCTGCAAACTGACTAATGAGCCCAAGGAAGTACAGACAATTGGAACTATGGTCCCAAACCTCCAACAGGACCAAAGAGCAGAAAAAGAATCCTTTTTGCTTGTGCTGCAAAGAATGGCATGATCATCTCTTGAGGCAGAAACCATCTCTCTACAAGCATGTAGATTTTAGTGAGCATCTGAATGGCTGGCATTAGCTCACCCCAGCACAGTAGCCAGCAATAACAGATTGTTCCAATAGCCAGCCAAGAATTCCAGCCAAAAACAAGAATCACGGAAGCTCATTTCTCATGTTCTCTCTAATTGGACAGCATATTAAAATACTTCAGCAAAACTCATTTCTGAAGAAGCATCATTGATATTAATTTTCCTTGAATCTAATGTCATGATAAGTGCTATAAAATTATTTTGTCCTGGAAGCATGTGTTTAAGTATACTCTTCCCATTCCCCACACAGATTACACGCATTGTCAAAGCTTAAAATCACACTTTATCCAAAAGTGGGATTAAACTGATTTACTCTTGAATTTCTGGTCCACTGAAATATATTTAGCACTAAGTCTACAATTTTCCCAAAAAAGAAGAAAAAGAGCTTATTCCAAAATTCAATATCATAGCATTTTTAAAGAGGTAATCATAGCTAGTATAATATACCAAACAATTACACTTTGCCTGTTTTAGAGCCATATTTTTCTAAAGTGGCTCATAAAATCAGTAATATAAACATTCCAGCTTCATACTGAATTTTAGTGATAAACTTCTAAAATACTATAGTGTTTCAAATTCCTGACAGCTGGCTCTATTGGGGACTACCCAATGAACAGGCACTAGGATGAGTTTCACCTCACCCATCAGTCATGTCATAAGGCATCTGGTCTTCAAGGTATAAAGGGATTTGAGTCTTCATTTTATGCTTCTTCAACTGTGTTGTACAGAGGTTGGCAGATGGTCTTTTACAGCAAAATAACCACATATCTGTATGGTATCTTCTGTTATCAGGCAATCTTCCATGTTACACAATTCCATGTTACACAATAAAAGTTACTTTTTAAATGTCCCACATAGGTGTTCTCACACACTTAATATGTTATCAGATCGAATTGAATTGCTTTTGGATAAACTTCCAAATCAAAAAACAACATACAAACTTCCAGATTGTTACACGGTTAAACTGTTTCCAAGCATAAATGTGACACTCCCGGCCTGATTATGTTTATGGATTTATCAGGCAAATATAATCCCGCAGTTGTGCACTATGGTTGAGTGTAAAATGATCTATTTTCCACATGTTCCTTCAAAGAGGATGCTTTGTCTTGTTCTGCACTAAATTCCCCTCTGCCAATGCTGTTGGTAAACACATTTTTTTCTGTTTGTCCAAAATAAGAAACTACTATCCTTACAATTATAGTTGTCTCCAGAAAAAAATAAAACAGTCTTCAAGAATATTATTCCTTAGGTTTTTGTTTTTAGGAAATTGTGTTTTTCATAATGCACCATCTTTACCAGGAGTCTTTTCTTACATTACTCTTATTTGAGACAGTAATTTTTATAGCTGTAGTTGCTTTTATTATCAGTGTCTTTAGGTTGTTTTTCTTTATTACTATACTCTTCCCGCTAATAAACAAATTACCTGAAAGAAGTATAAGTTCACAGATTCTGTCTCTGATTCAAAATTCCACAAAAATATTTTGATATATTAAATGAAATATCAAGTTATTGTTCTCATCATCCAAAATGGGTCTTAGATACAGTTTCTTCTTTCTGTGTTCTTCTTATCCTCAGATACTTAAACAAAGACATTTCTCTCAAAGTTTAGGGAAATCCCTAAGTTAATATAGTAATTATTTGTTGAAGAACGCTGAAACTGGAAATTGAACACACGTGCAGGGCTGTGGCATGGCTGAGGCATGGCCAACCTGAGAACAAAGAAAAGCCTCAAGGGGCAAGATAAAGTCACAACAAAGGACAACTGCCTCCAACCCAATGAACTATTTAAAGACTGTAGCTACAGGCATTTCACTGCTGTAGTAAAATGCAACATGGAGATCTTCTCATAAGATACTTCTCCTATATAGTTTGTCACTTGGCAAAGTCCTTAATCCACTCCCAGGGTCTGTTCAATTTCCTGCATTTTTCACCCTAATCCCTTCCTTGAATACTAAATAAATACAGGCCACCCAGAGTCATTCCTTGTCTTAACCCTAAGAGCCTCAAACTCTGCAGAAGGGTTGTGATCCTCCTGGGGCCCTAAAATCATACCACTTACCTCATCTATTTAAGCCTTCACCATACACTTACTTGTTTGGGAGAGCAGAGATCTAGGCCAGGTTCCCTGATAATTGTTTGCCCCTATTAATGCTGTCTGATTATTATATGAATACTTTCTAAGTACTAGTAAAAAAAACTGAGCACTTTGGATGTGTTATTTAATAATTGTCCAAGGCTCCAATATTGTTCCAGTTTTGCAAATCAGGAAACTAAGACTTACAGAATTGAAATGTTTTGCAACAATAATAGAATTAGAGGGAAGAATTATCAGAATTACAACTCAGACATGCCGAACTCTATGTTCCTATAGGATATTCCGTAACTCTTTATCTTTACCTTGTCAGGCTGTCATCCTATCTTTCCTGGCACGCTGGGTAACATGGCCCGGGAAGCATCTTGTCATCGCCTTGTAATCCCTTTTCTCAGCTGTGTCTCCATATTTCGCATTATTGTATCATCACTTGACTCCACTATTTTTAGGACTGAAACATTACAGGCTTTGGACACATTATTTACCATTTTAATTTATGAGCACTAGTGCACTTTCTGATTCACAAGAGATCCCCAGTTTTACTTGCAAATTGCCTTTAATTGTGTGATATTCTATATGAATATTTCTTGTATCACTGGTAATAAAAGTAGGACTTGAGGTCAAGCAAGGCCACTGAAAACCAATAGTTTCCTTCATCAGTGTTTCCTGAATGAATCTCTGTCTTTTGCCCACCAACAAACCACTCCAGTGACCTTTGGTCACTTCTTGTGACTTCACACCCAGAGAAGAAAACAGAATGAACTAGTAAACACCTGTGTAATTCCTTACCCAAAGGACTATAAAATTCATAAGGTTAGTTTTAACAATGTGTTTTACTCAGAAGAAAGAGTGCCTAACTAGTGAAAAATATTTACTTGTCTTTGGGAATACTGTAATTGTAAATTATCTTCTCTAATAAACAATAGCTCATGGAAATTAAACAAAGTGGCCTTTAAAGGTAGT